CCCTTCCCTCTCCCTTCCCTCTCCCTTCGCGGCGGTCTGGCCCCTCGGGTGGGCATCTCAGGGCTGATCGGCGGGACACGCGCAGGTCACCTTTTCTCTAGTGTGTGTGGGCCTTTCTCGTGCTGCAGCAGCAAAGCCCGAGGTGATTTTCCCATTCTTTTTGCTTCTCTCTCCCCCCCCCCTCCCATTTCCTTACTTTTTATCAGGCATGCGGATGGTAGTGGTTGTTTTAGGCAATGGAGGGACTGATCTTTGTTTCTCAGAAACGTGTCATTACGGGAAGTTTGATTGTTCTGCATATAGCAGTATTTTTTTTCATGTCTGCCTCTTCGTAGCTGCTAGTTCCTCTCTGACCCCCAGGGATGTCCTGACTGAGGGGGCTTATGTCAGGGTTTTAGAGGGCCATGTGTTATGGCTCAAAGTGTGTGAGTTTGTTCTTTGGTTTGTCATAGCTGTAGTCAGAAATGTTATGCAATGATGCTGTTTTGTTATACTGTGGTATGACATGATTTTTTTCTGTTCTAGTTGATCCCTCTGTTTTTGATCATTGGATCTGGAGGTGTTGGCGCAGCCCTGTATCTCATGCGCTTGGCTATGTTCAACCCTGATGTCAGGTATGTATAAAATAATTGACAGCACCTAGTCTGCGTATAAAAATAAAATTCACTGCCTTAGTTTTTACGTTTCTGAAGGCCTTAATGTTTTGCTGTAATATCACCAGCAGTGAGTGAATATTTCCTTGATTTGGTGATTTGTTTACCATATGATATTTAGAGATTGCTGACAAAGGGCTGTGTGTTTTTATGTGGAAACTTATTTGAAGGGGTGCCTCTCTATGGCCTAATAACTGCAGCACACATACAAGTTAGGTTTATTTTGAAGGTAGTGTGATTCTCTTAATATGTTCTCATCTCTTGTGTTTCTCTCAATAGCTGGGACAAGAAAAATAATCCAGAACCTTGGAACAAGCTGTCTCCCAGCGACCAGTACAAGGTAAAATGTAAAATACAGATTTTTAGGAAACATAGTACCAAGGGTGTGATCTAACTGCTTTAGGATGTTTGAGTATACTGGAAAGTAGCTGAAGGAGTGATATATTTCCTGTGCTGTGCAACATTTGTTTGTCTCTAGAACTTGAAGCAGAGAGAGCTGAGTTTGAGATATAAAGATTTCCTAGAGCTGGTTGATAATGGGGTGAAAGAAGTCTATATGTAAGCAGTCATACATATTGCACTGTAAGAAAAAGAGGAATTCTATGTAAGAAGTAGTATATACTAGTTCATAATACTAGGAACTAAACTACAGGGAGAAGGACAAAACCTTGTATGTTCTGAACTAAACTTCCTGAGCTCTGGCCTTTACTCCTGAGAAGCAAAGGAGGAAAATGTTAGTGTTTAACATAAGCACTAATTTGGTTCTGCAGTTGATTGAAAACAAAACAGCTGTCTGTAAGTAACTGGATGCAATGCAGATGTTCTTTAAGTAACACTCAATTATTTAATTGAACTAATGAGGAAGAATGCAAAGATGTTTCAAAAACTACCAAAACATTGGTAGTTTACAGAAATCATATTTTTATCATGTTTTACTGAAATTTTAGTAGATTGCAGTTAAAAATATTCCGAGATTATCTGCAAACTACTCAAAACCTAACATGTTTTCAAAGCTAGTGTCTGTTCAGTACCATATCTTACTATTCCAATCATTGAAATAAGAAAAAAAAAACAAAACAAACAAAAAAAACCCACAAAAAAACCACAAAAAAACCCCAAAACCCACCACGCAACCCTCAACTCCAAAATAAAATATGTTGCTGTTCTCTTAAAGGTCCAGGAATAACAGAATACTTTGTTTTCATTGCTGCTTCTGGAATGTTGCTGTTTCTTAAATAGCAGAAAAAGGCAAATTCAACATAGTGCGCAGCACAAATTCTTTTAAAGCGTGCATGCCTTGTGTAGCAGTCCCCTTCTGTCTTAGCATGAAAACACAGCCTCAGGGTTTACCATATTTGGGTGTGTGTAACATTGAGGATTTTTTTTTTTTTTTCCAAATCTGCACTGTGGGAAATGAAAAGGCAGATACTCTATATTGAGGATGACTGTTTAGTAAAAAGCTAATATTACAAGTTTGTATATAACAAGTTTTAGCTTTTGATGAAATCATTTTTCTTTGGTAAACTTCTCTTTGTCATATCAACATCCTCAGTCTTCCCAAAGAAAATGAAGACCTGATCATTACTGTAGAAGCTGCACAGAAAGCTGTAATTTGAATGTACTGTAGGCTGTTTTGTTTCTTTGAGGAACTTTAAAAAAAAAAAAAAAATTGGCATAAATAAAAATAACCAAGCTATCAGATAAATATTTCTTACCTTTTTTTAAAAGAAAAACTATAGCATCACATACTTGATGTCAAGTCAGGCTGGGATGTCAAAATATGTTATTAGTCTGTAAATTCATTATCCTCAGTGACTATTTGGGATGGTTTGAATTGCTGGTAATGGGATCCAGGTTTGTTACTGTAAACTGAGAGTGTGAAAGGATCTGTCTTACTTCCTTCCTCCTTGTCATACTTTGCAGTTCTAGATGCAGCTGCTTTAACCAAACTTGGCTTTTGCAGCACTGCTCTCAGTGTTCCCTTGTGGCACTGTCTGCTCACATACACTACTTTGTGCCGCTTGGCCAGGTAGGTGTTGCCTTCAGTATACAGGAGCACGTAGATTTTGGACAAGTATAAACTCAGCAGTACTGTCAGAACTTCCTATGAATGGTCTTTTAATTCTGAGGATTAAATAAAATGTTCTGTGGGTTTTCTCTGGTTGTAGATATAAGCACGGCCTCATTTTAAATGCAGAGCTTCTAATACTCTATGCAAAATGAAGATAATACTAAAAAATTACTGCTCTTCAAAGTTTTTATTTATTGTCTAGTGTACAGACTCAAACTGTGAGTTTTAATTTCCGACATGAGTTAAAATAATGCTTTTTTAGTAAATACCATGGAAAATGGGTAGTCGAGCTTCTTACTCATTTTTTCCCTCCTTCTTTCCTAGTTCTACTCGGTTAATGTAGACTACAGTAGACTGAAAAAGGACCGTCCAGACTTCTGAACAACACGTTCATCTCTGTAGGCTGCACAGAAAGGTCTTCCGGAAGCCGTCCGCACAATTGTCATGCTTAATCATCCAGGAAATAATCAAACTTGCCTCATGCTGCACTAGGTCATGTGTTTGAAAGTGTTTGGATGAGGCTAAATAAATGTCTGAAACTTGAAGTGTCTACTCTTTAATTTTTCAAAATGAGAATATCCTCTTACGGACTTTTTATTGTGATCAATCAAATAGTAAGCAAATGCCAATACATGTTTCCTCAGCAAAACAGCAAAGTTGTCTTGATGGGCTTTATCTGTTGACTTTAGGGAAATAATTGCATGTTCATTGCAGTATACCAAACCAAGTTGAAAGCACATATTTATAAGTGTGTGCAAATATATATACTTTTTAATTACACCTGAATTTCTCTATTTTAAGAAGTTTTGGTAGCAGACAAGTCAATGCTTACAAGTCATTCTCCAGCAGGGAGGCAACAGATGTTGCCATATGTTGCTGGAAGGAAGAAAAAAAAAAGGCCAAGCTGTCTGCAAAAGGTTTCATGGCTTTTCTTCCCTTTTTTTTTTAAAGTCATAAGCAGTTTGTTAATAGACAAGAAGACAAATATTTAAAAAGTAAAATTCTAGGAAAATATTCAAAATTTCATGTGCATCATGCTTTCATGGAAGGGAAGCACACAGTAGAATAGGGTATGGGATTTGAGAAGCTAGATTTTTCATGAAGGAACAAGAATACCTTTTGATAAGGGCAAATTGAGTACTTCGCTGAGCCTCTATGGGAAGACGAAAATATCTTTGCAAATCTGTAGTTTATGGTAGGTGGTTCTTTGTGCTTTTCTGTGAACATCTGGTGTTTTCTTGGACAAGGCATATAATTCTGGTCTATCTGACAGATTACAGCTGTTGCTATCTTGATACATTTCAGCCCACTTAAAAGTGGACAATGTAGATAACCATAGCTGCTGTGACAAATAATGATAGATTAAAAGAAACTGAGCAGCAAGAACTTTTACTGGAGAACAAAAACTATTCTGTGGCAATTGCAAAATAATTTGTGAAGACTCATATTTTATGTGGAAAAATCTGACAGGGCAATTGGATGTTTATTTGGTAGCAGTTCAGATTATCTTTTCATTATGTACAAAAATGGTGGATTTACTTGCAGTTTTCACTGTCTTGTTTGAGAGGCTCATGGAGTCTGAAGAAGAAATGGGTGTTATGACAGAGATGGTGTTTATGATGGTGTTTATAATGGTGGGCAAAACCTGTAAGTGTCCTTGGGGACTGTGGTTGCTATATGAATCTAAATATTTTTAGGAATTTGAACATTCTGTTGCAACACTTTTCATTCTTCAGTTTTGAAAGTGTCACGTGTAAAAATGGGAAGTGTTCTTGCTAGTTTTGGATTTTACTGATATTATGGCCTTCAAATGGAGATTGTTTCTCTGGACATTAGGAAAGACCAACATCTAGGAAGTAAACCTGATTCTTAGTAAGGTGAGACAGGGTTGTGCCTTTTGGTCACAGCTGAAGAGGGTATAGGCTCATGTTTTTCTTAATAAAGGCACTTAAATTGTTTGCTCTTGATATTTCAAAATATATTTAACAAAAATTTAAGGTATTTAAAGCTTTAAATACAGATTGTCTAGAAAACAAAAAAGCAATTAATGCTACTTCCTCTTTCCTCATAGCAGCATACTTGCTGCTGAAAATACACAAAGCTTTGTCTTTTCAGTTAAAACCATGATATTTCATTCCAAAGGCAGTTATCCTGAGGGGATGCTTGTTCCTTTTTCATTTTGGGGGTATGCTTCTGTCCAGTTTTAGATGGTAACAGACAATAGTCACTATTATCTACCAAACTTTAATGAACATTATAAGAATTTTGTTTCTCAGTCTTCAGTAATTCAAAAATGTTACGTAATTTCCAAAATGAAACTGAGTCAAATGAAGCATGCTGCATATTCTGTGTGACTTGGCAGCTCAACCAATAACACATTATTTTCATACAAACAGTATGCTATTTTTTGGTTCCATGGGACTAATTTCTCACTGCGGATGATTTTCTTGTTGTTGTACCCTTACACCTATAGAGACTTTAGGCTACACTGTTTACTGTAAATCTGTTTTAAATTATTCTGTGGGCAGAAATTAAGCACTTGCTTAAATCTTCAGTTTTGGGACATAGAAGCATTGAAATTCACCAGCTCCATTGATAGTATGACAAGGTCTGTTCTTCAAATTCCTAAAAGAAAAGTTCCAATTTTTTATATTTTATAAGTAACTTATGGGTTGATAGATCTATCCTAGTAATTCAGTTCTGTGGTCTGTTACTATTCAGTAGTTTGGGGGGTTTTATGTGGGTGTTTTTTAAACATAGAAATGTACTTTGTTGGTCCCTGGTTCCCTTTTATAGTTATTTCCTATGTTGTTTTTGTTTTTAAAATTCCAGTCCTACAAGGCCTTGAATTGCTGCTTTCCTTTTTCTGCTGTGAATTTTCCTTTGGGATAGAAAAACCCTTTATTACATGTAAAACTATGTGCTTGGCCCTAGCTTATATTTGCTTGGTAGTGGTCTATCAGTATTCAGTACGCTTTGCAATTTTGTGGTGTACTGTTTCTGAAAGAGAACTGTTTTTACAACTTGGCAGTATTCGATCTGTATTAAAATATTTACCCGTCTTTTTTAAAGCCATCTTCTATCTCTTTCTTCTTCATGAATTCAGAGATGATATTCCCTGAAGACAGCATGAAGAAATTATTGCAGTGTGCATTTTTAGGATTCTAGCATCTGATGTTCATCTTTGGCTATTAACTTTTATGAAACAACTAAATCCCATCATTAATAGGAAAACTTAGGTCCTTCGTTAACACCATGGCATGTAATTCTGCTTAAGCAGATGTCCTGTGTATTCTGAAAGAGACTAATATTCTGCTGTCTTATGTTTAAACTAAGATGGATATAACTGCTGTGTTCCAGTTTGTGGCAGGTTTTTTTTGAATGATCAGTGTAGGCCTGGCCTGCATGTCTTGTTAATAAGCCACGAACAGACATTTGTCTGTTACTTTTGCAATACAGCATTGTGACTGCCACTGTCAGATTTCTGTTACCACAGTTATTCTGCGCTTCCTTATCAGTGATCCTGCTACACAGCAGGGTGATCAAATCTGAAATTAATTCTGCCCACCTAGGATAGAAAGAATTACAGGTTTCCATAGTTTAGGCACATGAACCAGTACTCCACGCAGCTTGTTGTAATGTATTTCCTTTGGTTGTATTTTTAGTATAGCCAGTAAGTGGGATTTATGTTGCCTTCAGTAAGGAAAGTTCCTTGTGAGTGTAAAACACCTAACTGCCTCTAAGAAATTAGAAGTATGTGTCTGATATTAAAAGAATAAATTTTGCATAGGATTTCTAGCCAAATGTCATCTGAGGAAATACATTTTAAGATCGATTTTCAAGCTCTGCTTTACCTTTGAAGATAGTTTGGTGTGTGAGTATTGAATGGACCTTAAAAGAAAAAAAATATGTTTAATGCTGGTTGCACTGTAATGCTTTGTCGGAAAGAAAGGTTGAAAAATTATTGCAGGAATTTTAAAAAGGTATTTACAACAGAAAATTATTTACTAAAAAGAAATAGATACATACAAGTGCACACAAAGCTATTGTTCCTACTCATTGGCCAGCCTTACTGTGAAAGGAACTGTATGGCCCTTTCTCCAGGACAATGTGAAGCACAGCAGGTCTATAAGAACTCCAAAAAATATGTGTTCACTTGCATCACTGCCACAGTAGGGCTTTTTTAATATTACTTCATAGAAAAGCTTACTCTTCAGCCTTTTCTATTGAAATCCGGAAGTTGGTTGACTTCATGCTTTTACGATTACATGATCCATTCACTTTTCCTTAGAAGCAGTCTTGGTTGGCATCAGTATTTAGTCATGAGAGGTTCCTATGAAGCTCAAATCATTTCATCTCCTCCTCTGATCTCTAAGCTTCTTAAAACGTGTGTCTGTATACCCCTATGATGGCATGTTTCCCAGATGTGTGTTAATTCTGGTGCCATGCAGCTTGGATGAATTTTGGGGCTGTTTTAATCATTTCAAAATATTATCATCTGTTGTTGGTAAGGCTTAACACTTTCTCAGTAAGAAAGACATGAGCCAGTACAGTGCAAGAAAATACATGCTCCTTCCTTTCTTGAGAAGTGAACCTATTTTTAGCATCCAGAGTAACATTCATCTGAACCAGAAAAGTATTCTACATTTTTTTCTCCTTTTCTAAAGTTTCATGTAAATGAAAATAAAAAGTAATTTTTAGACTAAGGTGATGTTATTCTCACAGTTACGAGCTGAAGAACCTATGAGATCACCACACTTTGACTTGCTCAATTTTTTTTTAGATTTTCTTTTCAGTCAGAATCAGTATTACTTTAGGTAATGTGAAATAGGAACTTAAGCATGCAAGTCAAGGCAAGAACAAGGCATTCAAACTTTTGATAGTTTCCTATCAGCATTTACCTGACATTTGTTTGCTACTAGAACTGATACAAGATTGGCATGTGAAACTCCTGCAAGAGAGCAAGTTCTGAAGACAATCAGAAAATAGTTTATTAACACATGGCAATGAATACATTACAAAGGAGAATCGAAATTCTGCTGGTAATATTCATGACTGTTGGCAACGTTTTATAACTTAGACACCTCAAATAATATTTCTAGGGTCATTAATTTGAATTACTTTGGACAAAATAATGCACTACACCATTTACAGTTCATCACTATAATGTAAAGACAACTTTTCTAGTAGAACTGCACAAGTCATAACCCAATAGACAAATTTATAGACTTGTTTTTTTCACGTTGGAGGCAAACTAAGTATGAACATGAAATGTTTTCTAATTTTAGTTTCCCTACTGCAGGCAAATGAAACAAACTGCTGAGAAGGTAATGAAAACAGATTACTTAATGGTGAAAAGTCTGAGTGTCATTCTTTCTGTACCAGTGGTGCCACTGCTGGAATTTAATGGAGTGGCACCAGTGTGTCTGAATGAAGATTTTGGTCCTAGCTGTTTAAAAATACGGTTGCATCTAATTTTTTTTTTTTTTTTTTTTTTTTTTTTTTTGACTGAGAGCAAGAAAATAGCAGAACTCATTATCAACAG